AGTCTTAGCCTGATCCGATAGAAGCCAAAGTTTATTTTATCGGCGCTGCTGTCTGCAGACTGCCACAGTCGTACTCATTCTAACCCTGGGCCTTTGGGGCGATTCTTTTCAAATGAAAGGAGCTAACTATTGTGGCTGCAGCAGGACCAAGAGGAGGTTTGGATGCCCAAGACTGATAAGAATTTAGCAAACACTGAGCAGACAATTTTGTAATGAGGATATAAATTAACAGGAGTAAGAAGGCGAGTCTATTAAAATCATTAGTTTCATTAAGAACCTGCCAAAGCTAGGTGGCATTCCTATTAACCTCCCCAGGAACTTCCTTTCTTAAAACCTACCAGAGGGTCCAAAACATTATTTAGAGTTTTCATTTAAGATTTCATCTCTACCTTACAGAATTCATTACTCTTAAGTCATTCTTAAAAATAAAGCTCAGCAAGGCAGATAGCTTAGTGATGTCTTGACTGAAGGAGGCTGTGGGTTAAATCCCCTGCACCCAAAACCAAATCAATACAGGAAAAATATATATATGGTTTTTAATCTTTGCCACCACCATGCCGAGACCACTCTCCACACACATGAAGGTACCGGCAGAGGAACAAAGGCATGTGGATCCCGGGGCTGAAATCTCCAAGCCTGCTCGGATGGGGGCTGAGCATCCTCCACCCAGATCCTCCATATTCCAGTAGGCAGGGGTCACACCCAGCAACTGGCCCCCTGGCACCGTGAAATCCCATCAACGGCCAAGACCCAGAGACTATAAAACCCAGCTCCCACGGGGCCGCATTCATGGCCACGCGACATCTTATTATCTCATTCTTACTTTAGACAACCTGGCAGGCTACCGAATGTAACCTGCCCACACGGCAGAGTCTGGCAAACTCCCCGTGGCGTACCCAATATGCCAAATACCAGTAACAATGATGGGTCTCATTCTCCTAACCCTGAAAGAGCCTTGAATATGGCACTTTTTAAAAAAATCTCCAGGCTAGGACGAAGGAGACGTTACTGAGGTCTGCTCAAGGCAATCGACGAACAACAGGATGGTCGTGATCGTGAATCTTTGCTTTGTAGAACAGAGATTTCTCAACAACTGGCACAATTTTTTCACATGGCAACAGAGCAGTAGGACAAACACAGCAGGATTAAAAATCACAACAACACGCTGGGCATGGCACTAGCCACTAATGACCAAGGCGTGCAACACACACAGAAGAGTCAATCGTGGATTTTAGTGACCATCACATCCTGCGTGACAAGCGCTGTGGACCACACTCATTCCTATTTAAAGACTCAACTTCCCCTTCATGCCAGACAAATGGTAACTCATTAGAACAATTTAAACAGATACCGATAAAGGAAGTTTTTGATTAAGCTCATGAATCTGAGCTGACAGGAAAGCAATGGTGTTTCAGGGAAAATAGCCTATTTAGGTAAGAATTAAGCGTGGTGGACAAAAAGGCACTTCAGTGTAGGCTGGTAAAACAGTCTAGAAATTTCTAGAGCCAAACACCATAGAGTGTCAGAAGCCCACAACGGGAACACAGTTAATGAGGAAAGGAAATTGTTTTGGTGTGGACTAGTTTCCCCGTAAAGAAAAAAGGAACCAAACCGACCTCCACCTGCCTCTCTTCCCTTCAAAAGGTTAAATTTACTTAGTAGCAAATTTGCCTGTTTATTTAAGTTTTTAATAAATGCCTTCAATTTCCTCTAAAAAATACTCAAAAGAGCTCAATCCCACAGTGGCCATGACATCCCTTTTCCTCTTTGGCCTGGTGTTATTCTCAGATCTGGCAAGGCAGCAACTTTGCCAATGCTGTAAAACAGACATTAAGCTAGACAGACCTATTAGGGAACCATCACAATGACCTAGCAGAGGAGTCCAAAGAGGGCCAGGACAGTAACCACTGCTTTCTTGTTTTCCTAACTTACTCTCTTAAGAGTAAGTTGGACAAACTTGCAGGCTATCGAATGTAGCCTGCCCACAGGGCAGAGTCTGGCAAACTCCCCGTGGCGTACCCAATATGCCAAATACCAGTAACAATGATGGGTCTCATTCTTCTAAATAGCCTTGAATATAATCTCAGGGCTAGGATGAAAAAGACGTTACTGGGGCCTGCTCGAGGCAATCGACGAATAACAGGATGATGAAATGAAAATGATGAAAAACTCTCTTAAGAATGCTCCTCAACCATCTCTTCAGTTTATCTAGGCAGAAGTGGTTGGAGCAAAAGGAAACACACCTGGGGTGGGCATGGGGGTCAGTAGTTAAGCTATGCCTCTAACGTGTGGCTTCCTGACTGTGAACCCCGCCTCCACCCCCCACCCCTCCCACACCACACCCACACAAACCAAACAACCCCCTGCTTTCAAGCTTTCTTACAGTGACTAGAACAGGAAAGCTGCATTCAGACCTCAGGAGATCCATCATTTCTGAGAAGCAAACTACCAGGGTACATGTACAAGGGACAACCAAGAGTCAACACAGAACGCTTCCGGCGTAAGTGGCAAGTTCTTGATTAAATGCTCTGCCTTAGACTGGAGGAGAGACAAGCAAGAGGAAAGGGCTGGAGCATTGGAGCTTCTTGCCAAGACACTATCTGAGCGATTCAGCGAGAGCCAATGAGCAAAGAGTTTGGGCGAGAGCACAAACAGCCAGGTTGCTGATGAAACCACCAGAACACGGGCGCGCAGAGTTTTGCCGTCAAAGCGAAGCTGCCCTTTTCTAAAAAACAAGTTAAAGGTAAAGGTAAAGGCCCTCCCGTTGATCGTCGATTTGCTCGAGCGGGCCCAGTAACGTCTCCATTGGAGACTTTGTTGTTACTGTGTCTGGCATATCCAATACTCTCGGTAGCTTGCCGGGCTCTCCGAGCTGGAGCGATAGCACAGCGGTAAGGCGTTTGCCTTGCATGCAGCCAACATGGCCAAAAAACAAGTTACCCAAGAGAAATCTAGCAACGTTTATCTATCTCTGTCTCACGCCACACTTTCTACAAGCAAAATGAACTAAATGGCCTAACATCGGGCAGACCCCTAAGAGGCCCTGTCCACCTCATTTCATACAAACAGGCCATTTCATACAAACAGGCGGTCTGGTCATACGCTGCTGCTTCAAGAGAAGGCCAAAGGGGATTCCTGGAGGACAGGAGGAAAATCTCAATTCACATTCACATTTTTAAAATCTCGGTATTTAAGGCGGGCCAGTTTCTTGAAGGGTCCTTAACCACATACGCTTCGGTCCTCTATCTGGGAGTTGTGTTCTCCTTAAATATCTTGAAATATTTTTCAGATATTTTCAGCTACCATTCAGTGTAAATGCCTCCTCACCCCCTCAAAGATCTGCTTAGGGCTCGAGAGCTCCCAGCACTGTAGTAAGTATTCATTCGCCCAGACATGCGTTCCCTGCCCCCTGGTACCCCTCTCTTCCAGTACCCCAGAGCCCTACCTTCATCAAGCTTGCATTTTAGCAGCCTCAGTTGCACAGAGCTTTGCCACTTACTCTGGAATCCACCAAGACAATTTTAAAGGCAAATATATCTTCACGTACATCATGAAAGAGTCTGCCCACAGCGGCATCAAACACTGTCTTCTCAAGCTCCTCTCTGGACTAGCTTGTAAGTACAGACGATGAGTAACTGCCCTCCAATTAGTCTGCCACTTGTGAATAAACTCTACTTTCAACCACCCTCAAACCATGCTTCATCAATCTGTTAGCAAATTTCATTCCAATTTACCAGTGATCCAGCAGAGGACCCAAAATGCAACGTCTGATCTATCTGACTAAACAGATTCTCCCAAAGGCCAAGCCATCTAGGACATACAAGTGTGGAAATTCAGTCTTTGCAGGCATAATAAAATTAGGTGGAAACAGATTAGGGTGGCTTTAATCCAATGATTAATGTCATTATAAGGAAATACAGGGAAGCTAGCATAGTACAAGGGGTGGGGCGGGGAGGGCCATAGGACAGCGGGTGGGGCATCTGCCTTACATGGTCAACCTGGGTTCGATCCTTGAAATCCCATATGGTCCCCAGGCCCCACCAGGAGTAATTCCTGAGTTTTCCATATTTTAAAGCCCTGAGTTCAATCCCTGACATTCTCTCTCTCTCACACACACACATACACATACACACACACACACACACACACACACACATGCGCGGAAAACTTAAAAAAAAAACAAACAGGAACACACAAGCTATGGAAGACAAAAAAGCAAGAGGCAGAGGCAGAAAACAGAGTTCCCCTGCCACATTCCAGGAACACCTCTAAGAGAAAAGAAAGGCGTCTCAAGTACCCTGGGAGGAAAGACCTCTCTGCTGACACCCTGATACTTTTGCCCTCCAGAATTGGTAATAAATGTGTTTTCCCACTTTGTGGTAATTTGTTTCAGCAGTCCTAGGAAACTAGCTGGGCAAGCCAAACGCCAAAAAAAAAAAAAAAAAAAAAAAAAAGGCAATTTTTAACTACCTAGTATTTGAGTCAAGGTCCTAGACACTTTAGAATTTATCGCAAAAGTTGGGTGAAAATTGGACGATCATAACCAATAAGACAGGAAAGCAAAGTTCCAACTAGATCATCATGGATTACTATAAAGAGTGAACACAGGGATGTTTCAACTCATTTGTTTTTGATCACAATGGCTAAGGAAATGAAGAAAACAAAATGCAAAAACCTAGTGAGGTCGGATCAAGGCAGAAAGGAGCCCATGTTCTGTGAAAAAGTTCCATGATCATTAACAGCTACCAAGAGCACAGAGTACTCAATACTCGTCACCTACTGAAGGATCAGCAATCAACTACGGTCCTCCTGTGACAACTCCTGTTTTCAAAACAAGTGCCTCCTTATAGGAGAATGGCAGAGGGAAAGAGAATCTACCTACAGGCAACACTTAACCCTAGAATTTGCCCGATTTTCTCCAGGGACAGGGAACTGCATCCTGCCCAAGTCAAGCCCGAGATTCTGCCGGCCAGTGACGCCAAAGCCTACTGAAAGCATACCTTTGGCTGCATTATTGACAGAAGAGGGGGGTTCATCTGGTGTAGAGCTGAGGCTCAGGGCAAGCTCTGCCACTCTTTTCTTCTGCTTCTTGATAGGGGCAGTGCACTCTGGATCATTTCTCCTCTTCATTGTTACTGCAACCATAAACCCAGAGAGTGAGCAGCCCTTGTCAGGGCCACTAAAATCTGAGCAGGGAATCCACAGTATAAATCAACTGGATGGAATTTGGCAACTGGAAACAACTTTCAGTGCCAGCACTTGAATAACTTCTTCCTCAAAATGAGGTCCGGCAAGGATGCTAAGCCAAGCTCTGGTTTTCAATAACAGCAGCTTTACTGGGAAACGTGGTACCCACGGTGTCTTCTAAGCCACTGTCACCACTGGGTCCCAGTCATAGATAAACCCCACAAGCCGCAAGCAAAAGGCTACTGGCACTTTTGATCCCCTGCTTGTGATGTGACACTGGTTGCGGGAGATAGTAACGGACGTTGGAAATGATGAGTAATAAATATTAGCTACTGACTCCAAGGTGAAAAAAAAAAACCAGAATTATTCATTAGCCTTATTACCAGGAATCTTTTTTCTTTTTTTATTTTTTGGTACACTTAAGGATGCTTGAAAACATGAAAGAACCGGAAACATTCTTGGATTTGTGTTGCATTTTTGCAGGGCTGGGAGCTGAAGCGAGGAGGGCCTTGCAGCACGAAAGCCATGTGCTCTAGCAGCAAACCACGTCCCAGACCTGGTCGATCCGTCCTGAGACTGGAGAGGTTCTCTGCATCTTTTTTGGGGGGTGAGGGGCCACACCCGACGTTGCACGGGGGTTCCCCGGGCTCATGCACTCAGCAATCACTCCTGGCGGTGCTGCTGGGCATCGAACCCGGGTCCGCCGCGTGCAAGGCAAGCGCCCTACGCGCCAGAACTGGAGCGGTTCTAGCACGGGGGAGAAACAGAGCCCAACGCCGTGACGGGCTCGGGACCGAGAGGACGTCCGGGCGGGCACGTCACGGCGTGGCGGGGGTCCCGCCGGGCCCGCCAGGGCCGGGGAGGGCGGCGACCCGGGGACGCCGCGCGCGCGAGGGACGCGGGCACGGGCGCTCCGAGCAACGCCCGGCGGGAGCAGCGGCCCGGGCGGCGGTCAGCGCCGGCCAGCCCCGGCCGGAGAGCCCCGAGCCCGCCCCGAGCGCCGTCCGGGCGGCCGGGGACCCCGCAGTGTCCGGCGCCGCGGCCCAGGGCACCCCCCGCGCCCCCGCCCCGGCCCCGCCCGCACAGCCCGGCCCCGCGCGCCCCCGGGACCCGCCGGTGACCTGCAGGCGGGCGGGCCGCGCCGGCACTCACGGGGGCAGGCGACGGCGACGGACAGCAGCGGGGACGGGCCGCGCCGCCGCCCGGTTTCGTTTTCCCCGCAGGCCGGCCCCGCTCCGCCGACGCGACGCGCGGCCTGATGACGTCACGAGGCCGCCCGCCCCGCCCCCCCGCCCGCCCCGGCCGGGTCCCGGCCCCGGGCCGCGCGCTCGGCGGCCCCGCCCCTCCGCCCGCGCCGCAGGGCGCCTGCGCGGACCGCCGCCGGCCACGCCCCTCCCTGCGCGGACCGCCGCCGGCCACGCCCCTCCCTGCACCGCCGCCGGCCACGCCCCTCCCTGCGCGGACCGCCGCCGGCCACGCCCCTCCCTGCGCGGACCGCCGCCGGCCACGCCCCTTCCTGCGCGGACCGCCGCCGGCCACGCCCCTCCCTGCGCGGACCGCCGCCGGCCACGCCCCTTCCTGCGCGGACCGCCGCCGGCCACGCCCCTCCCTGCGCGGGCCCCGCCCGGGCCGGGCCACGCCCCGGCAGAGCGGGAGGGACCCCTGAGCCTCGCTGGGCCCGGCCCAAAGCACGTTTAGAAGGAGGTCGAGTGGCCGAGGGCAGAATCCCCGGCCTGGTCACCGCCGCGCCCTCCGCATCCCCGGGGCGCCGGGCAGAGGGACGGCGGCTTGGGCGTCTCACCCGGGACGCAGCCCCAAGCCCAGCCCAGCCCAGCAGGGCCAGAAGCCGGCTGAGCATCTTCCCCCTCCCGGAACAAAAAGCGGACCTCAAGTTCCTCACGCACGCCTGCCCCTGCCCTAGTGCCCGGTTCCACGGTCCGCCTGCTGGGGGGCGGCCTGTGAAGTCTGGGGGCCTCCCCCTGCCAGACGCGCAGCCCCCATCCCCAGCTCCAAACGTCTCTAGCTGTCCAGTTGTCATCCGCTGACACATCCTCCCAAAAACCAAAATGCACTTTTTTCTTTCCGTTCAGTCTAACCCATCAGTGACTAAAACCCATCAGTGAAACTTGAATCCCTTTAAGGTGAAGCTTTTAGGGCAGGCGTCACAGCCCAGCATGTAGGGTGCTTCCCTGCCTGGCACAGGGCCAACCCTGGTGGAATCCTCAGCATCCCATATGGTTCTCCGAGCCCATTGGGAGCCACCCCCTGAGAGCAGAGGCAGGTATAACCCCTGAGCACCACGGGGTGTGGCCCCCACCTGCACCCCAAAAATGAAACTTTCGATTCTTTGGGGTGGGGGGCCCACACTGGGAGGTGCTCACAGCTTACTCCTGGCTCTGTGCTCAGGAATCATTCCTGGCAGGATCAGGGGACTATTTAGGAGGACAGAGATGGAGCCCAGGTCAGCCACATGTAAGGGAAGCACCCTGCCTGCTTCACTATCTCTGGGTCCCTTCATTCTTAAAATGACTGAAAACAGAGCCAGGATTACCCTAAGGCCTGGAACACATACTTTGCACATGGGAGGCTTGGGTTCTGTCCCTGGCACTCCATGATCACTGAACTCCACTGGGGAACCCTGAGCACAGTGCCAGGAGCCGCCCCACCCCACCCCAACACCACTAGGAGTGGCCCCCCCAAACAAAACAAAGGTAAGAGTACCTGTGGTCGTTGTGTCTCTTGTAGCAGTGCCTTGTGCGACAGGTTCCTTGTCCCTAGCCTGGTTTTCTCTTTCACAAAGATGTCTTTCTTGTTCTTGGGCCACAGCCATTGGTGCTCAGATATTACTCCTGGCTCTGTGCTCAGGGATCACTCCTGGTGCTGGGGATTGACTGGGACGCTGTGTGCAAGGAAGAGCCTTATCTCCTGTGCGATCTCTCTCCTCAAACAAGTCCCTTAAGTCTGACTCCCTGGATCGTTCTCCCCACCCCTGCACCTTGCTTGGCTAATCCACTTAACCCTGCACTCTCAACTTCTCTGTCCTTTTCTCTGGAAATTATTCCTGACTCCCTAAGTCTTAGTTCTATTTCCTGTCCCTGAATGCCCATATTTTTCTGTTATCCAAGGGTCAAAACATTCATGTGTTGTGTAATGACCTCTTAACTCACTTTCCACCCAGATTGCTACAAACTCTGTACAGGAAATATGTCTGCTATTAAGATTACTTAACATATGGTGTCTGAGTAAATATTAAATCTTAAGACAACTTTCTTTTGTTCTCTCTTTTTTTTTTTGGCTTTTGGGGGTCACGCCCAAAGATCTCAGGGGTTACTCCAGGCTCTGTACTCAGGAATAATTCCTGGCAGTGCACGGGGACACATGGGATGCCAGGGATCGTATCCAGTCAACCATGTGCAAGGCAAACATCCTCACCACTGTACTGTCACTCCTGTCCCTATACTACGGTCTCTTGGTAGGGATTTGGATTGTTTCCATATCTTGATTATTGTACTAAGCACTACAATAAACATAGATGTGCCAATATCCTTTCAATTAATGTTTTGTGTGTGTATGTGTGTGTGTGTTCTGGAGATCTATGCCAAGAAATGGTATTGCTGGGCCATATGAGAGTGCTATTTTTTTTGTTTGTTTCCTTCTTTCTTTCTTTCATTTTTTTTTAATTTTTAGAGATCTACATATTGGGACCAGAGCAATAGTACAGCGGATAGGGCATTTGCCTTGCATGCAGCAGACCCAGGTTCAATTCCTGGCATTCCATATGGTTCCCCCCAACACCGCCAGGAGTAAGTCCTGAATGCAGAGCCAGGAGTAACCCTTGAGCATTGCTGGGTGTGACCCCAAAAGCAAAAAAATAAAACAAACAAACAAAAAATAGATCTACTTATTGCTTTCCATTAAGGTTGAACCAGATGACATTTCTGCTAACAATGGGCTTCTTTCTCATGTGGTCTTTGTCTGTTTGTTTTTTTTAGGGGTGGGGGGGACACACCTGGCAATTCTCAAGGCTTACTCCTTCTCTGCACTCAGGAATTACTCCTGGCAGTGCCCAGGGGACCATGTGGGATGCCGGAGATCAAACCTGGGTTGGCTACATGCAAGGCAAACACCCAACTTGCTGTACTATCCCTCGAGCCCCTCAGGTGGCCATTTTTTTTCTTTATTTTAAGAAACCACTTTTTTGTTGTTGTAGTTGTTGGGTTGGGGCCACATTTGGTTGTGTACAGGGATTAATATTGATTCTGTACTTAGGGATCAGCCCTGGTGGAGCTAGAGGCCATATGTGGTACCAGTTCAAGCCCAAATTGATCACATGCAAGGCAAGTGCCCAGCCCTGGTCTAGGGCGATGTCTCCATCCCCAAGAAAACACTCTTGATTTAGAATATGCCCTGAGGGGCTGGAGCAATAGTATAGCGGGTAGGGCGTTTGCCTTGCACGAGGCCGACCCATGTTCGATTCCCAGCATCCAACATGGTCCCCTGAGCACTGCCAGGAGGAATTCCTAAGTGCAGAGCCAGGAGTAACCCCTGTGCATTGATGGGTGTGACCCAGAAAGACAAAAAAAAAAAAAAATAGAATACGTTCTGGACAGAACAATAGCTAAAACTACTGGAGAATATGCTACACGCTCAGGGGCCTGGGCTCCACCACTGACCACATGGTCCCAAGCACTACTGGTCATGACTGCTTTCCAAAAGGAAATATTTTCCTGGACTCAGGAAGGCACATCACAGTCACAATCATAACCATCCTGTTATTCGTCGATTGCCTCGAGCAGGCCCCAGTAACGTCTCCTTCGTCCTCGCCCTGAGACTTTTAAAAAAAGTGCCATATTCAAGGCTCTTTCAGAGTTAGGAGAATGAGACCCTTCATTGTTACTGGTATTTGGCATATTGGGTACACCATGGGGAGTTTGCCAGACTCTGCCGTGTGGGCAGGTTACATTCGGTAGCCTGCCAGTTTGTCCAAAGTAGGAATGAGATGATAAGGAGGGCACATACAGTCATCAAAATGCCCCAGATTCAATCTGTTGTAACTGACTTCATTTATTTAATGAATCACGGAGAGACTATCTTAGGTGAGAAAGGTAGGACATTTAATTATTTAAATCGAGACAGACCACAACTAGGCAATCACCTGAAATTGCAGCCAGGAGTAGAGGTACAGAGCGCTTTAAGCAGGAAGATTCCTGGCAACACAGCACACTCGTGGGACAAAGAGGAGAAGGGAACAGAATGGGGCTTCTCGGTTGATTGCATCGTGACAATACACGGAGGGACACTGAGGCAGGAGGGACACGACACGGCACTCAGAGGGGCCCCTTGCTGCCAGGAACCTTTGTGGGGATGCATTCGGTTTCAGGTCTGTGGACATGTGCTAACCTGTTCATTGTTTCGGTGTCCCCACTCCTCCCCGCCTGGGGACAGGTGGCTTTGGTCCTTCTGCTCTGTTCTGGGCGGTTTGATGGTTTCTGACCTGCTCATCTCTGCCCAGCTCCCAGGACAGCTGCTCAGAGCTCCTGCCTCTGGCTGCCTCCCTGGTCACCTCAGCTTAGCTTCCTCCCGTCACTATAACAATACAGCAATATGGGGCGTTTCTTAACTCCAAGGGCACAGGGGGAGCAGAGCACAAGCCCTGCCATATCACAAAGCCCTGGCACCATGATGCCCCCTGAGCGCCACTGGAGCAGCACGGTACCCCCTTCCCCCGTACCCCAGAAGCAGAACTATGTCTCTGGGCCTGGCACGAGCTCCCAGCTCTGCTGGCTGAGTGTCACAAGAGCAGTACCTGGGCTCCTGAGCACTGCTTGGAAGGTACCCCCTCCACCCCCAAATAAGAATTATTTCCCTTGTCTCTATTAGTTTCAATTTTATAAAAGGTAAAAGGTAAAGGCCCTCCCGTTGATCGTCGATTTGCTCGAGCGGGCCCAGTAACGTCTCCATTGGAGACTTTGTTGTTACTGTGTCTGGCATATCGAATACTCTCGGTAGCTTGCCGGGCTCTCCGAGAGGGGCGGAGGAATCGAACTCGGGTTGGCCATGTTGGCCGCTTGTAAGGCGAACGCCCTACCCGCTGTGCTATAAAATGTTTAAAACACTTTAATTTCTTAATTTCAAATTTGCAATTGTAAAATCAGTGTTTCACAGGCATCCTTTAAAAGATTTACCTAATTGGGGCTGGAGAGATAGCACAACGGGTAGGGCGTTTGCCTTGCAC